TTATCTACTACGACGCCTAACGCGCTTTTTGACAGCAGCTTTCTAGCCGACCCTCGACCGGAATTATAAATAAATTATACAATGAAGCCATACATCGACATTACGGAGGAAGCCATTTCTGCACAATGCAATTTCATAACGGCGCGCTTTTGCGAAAGTCGACGTCATCGCCGATTAGTTCAACCAACCTGGACGAAAACGTAATTGGTTTTCCTCTCGAATTTTCATCGACTTCGACGGTTCGCGTTTTAATTACCTAGATAATTAGCGGATCGCGCACAATTTCATCATTCGCCTGCTTGCACTTTCGCAAGGGGATCTTACAAAATGACGTCGACGTCACCGAGGCCATTTTTGGGCTTGGATTAAAACGCGATTTTTACGTTTATCAACTGACGATAAGCGATCTTATTTTTTAACGAGCGATACCAAATATTTACACAGGGAGAGATAATTTTCCATAAATAGCGAAAGTGTGCCTTTGTATTTACGCCTTTCTTCTCGAGTGATATTTTCGTCTGGTTATCAAGACGTTGCCCTTGGACGACTTCGCCGGGGCCGTTGGTGCTCCTTTTTGTCGTCCGCGCATTCGGCCGCGTAGCAATAGTCGAATCGCTCTGTATACTTTGATCCTTTTAAATAATATAATATTCAACAATTCAGCAACCATGACCTTTTTAACAAGTCACGGCCTACTTAGAGAGCAATTTATGAATTTTCATTTGGCGAAATGGCGTCTGCGTATACGCGAAATTGTGTAAATAAAATAATGTAATTGAGGTTGTTAATTAGCAGACGATCACGTTTTCATTTAAAGGGAGCAACGTAGCACAAATGAATTTGAAATGAAAACACGAGCAACGACCTACAAACCGGCCGCCGGATAACGCAAGTGTCACTCTTGCGTATTTCCGCTCGGTCGATAGCAATAGCGCTCGCCCACCAAAACAGTCTTTGACATTTAACAAAAGCGATCCGAAGAATTTTCGCCAGCGATTGCCCTATAAGGCGACGTAACACAAAACGTCTCTTGTCTTGGCGAACGAAGGTCTTCTCCATCGCCTTCTCGATGTCTACTTCAAGAGCATGAGAACGTAATTTCGCACACAGAAAGCACTCAAGAGGGCTAAGATTTCTGGCGTCGATTCATTACGCGTTGGTGAGAGGGAGCAGACCGAGGAATGTCCTCTTCCTTCAGTTACACAGAGCAAGGACATAATTATCCACTTATTTTAGGAATTAAAATTTCTTTTTACGTCACCCCTGAGATATTTATACAGGATGTGACATGTATATGGACCCATTTTAAAATGCTTATTGTTTAACTCCTCAACTTTTGACAGACATGTACAATATGTTATAGACTGTGGTCGTTTTCGAAAATAACCACAGTACGTGGTTGGCGTCTTCTCTGAAATATAATTACAGGGCGAGGTGAGGCGGCTCAGCCGCTGATACGGGGCCCATTTGTGAATGATCGCCGATATTCCAATTCAGGGTCGGGGGATGCGCCGCCGCACCTTACTCTGTAGCTTTCGAAACAATAAGACATACGCTCGGTTTCGGCGGCTGCGCCTCCTCACCTCACTCTTTCATTATATTACCTGGGGGTTATTATGACAGGACGAGGCAAAGTGGCTACATCTGAGGCTATGATAGTGCGAGATGAGGCGGCGCAGCCGCCGAAGTCGAGCGTATGCCCCATTTTTCTGTATACAAAAAAGAACCCATTTAACCAGTATCCTTTTTGAAATACGAGTATAACCACAGTACAAGGTGAGGAGTGAGTGAGAAGATGAGGCGGTACCGATCCCACTTGTGAATAATCGTCACATTTCAAGGACAAGGATTCGGCGTCGTGGGTTACGCTGCCCCACCTCGAGCTGCAGCTTTCAACACAGTGAGACAGACGCTCGGTTTCGGCGGCTGCGCCGCCTCACCTCGCTCCTGCAGTATAAATATTACCAGGGGGTTATTATGACAGAACAAGGCAAAGTGGCTACACCTGGGGCTATGATAGCGCGAGGTGAGGCGGCGCAGCCGCCGAAGCCGAGCGTATGTTCCATTTTTCTTTATACAAAAAAGAACCCATTTAACCAGTATCGCTTTTAAAATATAACCACAGTACAAGGTGAGGGGCGAGCGAGAAGATGAGGCAGTACCGACCCCACTTATGAATAATCGTCACATTTCAAGGACAAGGTTTCGGCGTCGTGGGTTACGCTGCCCCACCTTGAGCTGCAGCTTTCAACACAGTGAGACAGACGCTCGGTTTCGACGGCTGCGCCGCCTCACCTCGCTCCTTCAGTATAAATATTACCAGGGGGTTATTATGACAGAACGAGGTAAAGTGGCTACACCTGGCGCTATGATAGCGTGAGGTGAGGCGGCGCAGCCGCCGAAGCCGAGCGTATGTCCCATTTTTCTTTATACAAAAAGGAACCCAATTAACCAGTATCGCTTTTAAAATATAACCACAGTACAAGGTGAGGGGCGAGCGAGAAGATGAGGCCGTACCGACCCCACTTATGAATAATCGTCACATTTCAAGGACAAGGTTTCGGCTTCGTGGGTTACGCTGCCCCACCCCGAGCTGAAGCTTTCAAAACATTTGAGACAGACGCTCGGTTTCGGCGGCTGCGCCGCCTCACCTCGCTCCTCCAATATAAATATTACCAGGGGGTTATTATGACAGAACGAGGCAAAGTGGCTACACCTGGGGCTATGACCAGCGCGAGGTGAGGCGGTGCAGCCGCCGAAGCCGAGCGTATGTCCCATTTTTGTTTATACACTTATTTCCATGATATTTCAAGGACGACGCTTCAGTGCTCAAGGCTGCGCCACCTCACCTATGCCACCTATGCTATATAAGCAAATTGTGTTTAGTCTTAGTTTTATCATCGACGTCGAAGTGATAAATAACAAAATACGCGCTCGTGTTATAAATGTAAAGGCAAGTAAGTGTTACATATTGAATTGTTATAAGGTTTATTGTTAATACTAAATTTTAATAATTTAACAGATAAAACACAACATGAAATTTACGTTAATGTAAAAGGCCTTCTTGAAACGGATCCCGGAGAGAAGACCACTCCGGCCCTGGTTACAATTTAATCCGTACGAACGTTTTTCGGTTAGGTTTCGCAGAAGAGTTCATCCAGGTCACTAACTCAACTCCCACATTTCCGCGCCGCCCGCCGTTTTGATGTAGTTACAGTCGGCGTTCGCCGTTTTGAAATTTCGTGGACCGAAAACTGTCCTATCCTACACATTACAAAATATTGGCTTGCAAAACAGACCGGCGCGAATTTCGCCGGAGGCGGGTGAATTTTCTTCATCTCAATTTGGACCGGTTTTGAAACCGAACCAAATTAAAACAAAAGGCGCGCGCGAATTCTGATGAAGCAGCCTGGAATTCGGGCGCAAGCAGATTTCGACATTATTTATTGTAACAATTAAATTAATTAGAAAAAAAAACGCCGTGAAAGTAGGTAGGTAATTTCTAAAGCGAGTTACCATTACGTTTGTCCTAAATATTTTCATCGGGCGAAGTGAAGGGGTTGCTCGCGACAACGCACCGATAAAACGTAATAAATAATTAGCCGCCTACGGTCGACGTAAGCCAAATCTGAGTCATACCATAACAGGTATACCCAACAGGTGTGATTTAATTCCTGCACGAAACAATCGAATTCTCGACTTACCCTGTTGATGTTTACTCGATTCTCCAAATGCGCCCTCCGAGAAATTACTGAGCACAATTTACGAGCGGCGGTTTCGTGATTGACGACGGCGAACGTATTTGTCGTAAAACGTAATCGAGTTTAATAAATAATAAACCGTTAACGGAGAACATTTAAGCCAAACACGGAATCGAAACGCACTGACGTTGTTACGCCTACCTACAGCTGACTTTTGACGATAATTTCAGGTTATTGTAATTTCATGGCCGATAATGAGACGAACGGCGGCGAAGATTTACGATCGGATGCGCTTGTTTTGGCGCCGGCGGGTAGGCAAATAACAATACGCCCTAATTACGAACTTTGATTATAAAGTAGTCTCTATTCAAAGCTACCGAAGCTTGAGGGAATTAGAATTTATAGGGGGTACTGAAGGTTCTTCAAAAGCTACTAATGATTCAGGTTTTTTAAAGCTGTAAAAGTCCATGAACTATCTTCAAACTCGCTACAAAACCCTTAAAGATCCTTGAAATACTCTTTGAAAGCTCTTACATATTTGTAAGCCTTATAAAAACCTAAAACACTTTTGCAGTCTCTTAAAATTAGCCCCGTGACGTAGTCAGTGCACCACTAGCAATGTCCCTATAGGAACTTGAGAGGGTCTTAAAAAACCTTCGAGACCTCTAAAAAGGCCTACAGAAGACCTTTGTTGACTTTTAGGATTCTTAGAGGGCTTTAAAACCTTTAATGCACCCTTAAATTCCGTAAAAGGATATTAAAGGTTCTTCAAAAGCTACCAAAAGGGCCAGGTTGTTTAAGGGTACTTTGAACAATTCTTAACGGCTGTAAAAATCAATGAACTAACTCGCTACAAAACCTTGAGAGGTTCTTGAAATGCCCTTGCATACTGTATACAAATTTTCTCAAAAGCTAGCAGAATTTCTTATGAAGGCTCTACAAGAGCTTTTGAAGAATTCTTATAGATTTTCTCGCGACCTCTATAAAGACCTATAGGAGAGTTTTTACAGAATTTTAAAATTCAGAGAGGCTGTTACACGTTTTTAAGAACCCTTCAATACACTCTTAAATTCAATAAAGACACCTGAATGATCGTAAAGTGACTCGTACCGAGAACTGCGTGGCAGTGGGGCGCAGTGTTGATAACGATGCAGAATGAAGACCATTGAAAGCTTTTAAAGAAACAGATTTTAGAAAGTCATGAAGGCTCCTATGTATATGCAAATGATATTACTTTAAATCATATAAATGCTTCTGATTATGAAGCACCCTGTACATACTAAAAAAATGACAAGTGTACACATAACCTCACTTTTTTTTTGTCAGAATTATAACCTCAAAATGATGCATTTTACACTTTTACGGTATTGTTTGTTTATTTAACTTTATTTTCTACATAAAAGCCTTGCAGGTGTAGACCGTACGCAACCAAAGCTATACGCGCAGCATTTAGCACCAAACGCGGTGACACTTCTACGAGCAGCAGCAGTAGCGACAGCGACGATGATCGAAAACTGAAACGTCAGGAGCGCAGTGAAGCTGCACGTCAGAAACTGCATTTACTACTTGAAAACATGCTTGAGGTGAGCCGCGTTTTAGACTATCACGTTTACAATTCCGCTGTAGAACGACACAACTACCAAGGAGAAAGGTAGCGACTTACCTTTGACCAAAGCCAGAGACCATCGAAGAATTGCGAAAGAAAGAAGGGAGGAGGAGTCCGTGAAAACTGAGACAGTCGGTAAGTGGTCGTCTAAGTTGATAAGTAGTGACGGCCCGTTTTCAGAGAAGAAGATCGTAAAAGCCGTACAGGATGTCTCGGTCTCGTTAGGAGGAGATGTAAAGAAAACCGAGTCGGAACTTTTGCAAAAGCTGCTTGGAGGTCCGGCAAAGGAGGACAGTCAGCAGCCGACGGTTACAGATTTGAAGTAAGTTTTTTCATTTTGTGGGGCCTTCCGATTGTGTGATTTAAATCAAATTGCAGCGAGCTCTTCAAAGACATGAAAATAGACAGGGAAACAAAGACGGACGTCGAAATTTCGCGAGCCGAACAAGTCCGACAGCTGCTACAGATGGTCAAACCGCAACCCGCACAAACCCCGCAAACTGCCCCGAGGAGACGACCGCAGGTGTCTAGCAGTGTCGACATGTAACAGTTCGACCCGACTGTGCACGCAGTAATCGACTTATTACAGACCGCAAGAACCTGTCAATTTGCACGTAGAAGAATGCCTGGGAATATTCAACGGGGAGGAGGTTAAAAATTGGGAAGAACCCGAGCTGAACCCAACGTGGCGGGCACTGCATCGGCGCGAGCTCGAGCTCTCCGTGACGCATCCGCCCGAAAACTACTTCCAACAGATGATCCTCTGGACGAAGCAGGGCAAAGTTTGGAAGTTCCCAATCGACAACGAGCAAGGTGATTTGGTAAAGCGGAAGGGCGGTCTCTGAGCGGGTTTTTACAGATTTGGAAACGGAGAAGGACGTTTATTTCACCGAGCACATTTTCCTAGAGAAGCACTTGGAGGGGTGGTGCCCGCCGAGGGGTCCCATTCGACACTTCATGGAGTTGGTCTGCGTGGGTCTGTCGAAGAACGCGTATCAGACGGCGGAAATGAAGAGGGATCACATTTTGTGGTTTAGAGATTACTTCAAGGAGAAGAATCAGCTTCTGGTAGAAGTTGGGGCTTTTCCTCCGGGGTTTGAGATCGGAAAGGGTGGTTTAAAGGTAGAGGCTAAGTAAATGTAATTATACCAAATAAAAGTTAATGAGAAATAGTGGTTGTTTTATGTGTTGCCTATCTTCAGGTGCAAATGTTGCCTATGGTTGGAGGCAGTGGCGGCGGGTTTTAATTTTTTGCATGGGGGCAAGGGTAAATTTTCATGAATATAATTTGCATAGATCCCATTTCCCCCCAAAAGTCACCGCCCCTGGTTGGAAGAATGCCACTTAGAAGAGGACAACACGAAAATGATGAGAGCTATATATAGAATGATATGGGGATGGGGTGAGAAAGTAGCATTGAAGGGTCGAGGAGAAGGATGGAATTTTGATTAAAATTGTTCTTCAAACTTTAAATTTCAATGGTCTTACCAGAAGATGAAGTTAGCTCCTTTTCTTCTTGCCGTTTGTGCCCGCAGCCCTAGCTATGCTTGTGGATTGTCTGTTGATTTGCCCATCCTTACGGTGAAGGTTAGGAGGGGGTGGATTTTTTGCTTTTGGAGCGTATATTCAGTTTTCTTGTAGCACCCTCCTAGGCCACTTCTTTCGCTCCTGTGCTAGAGGTCGGAGTTGTCCATCCTGTGGTAGATTCTTTCGGCCAGCGATCGAATGTGCTCCTGCTCTGTGAGCGTACGTTTATTTGCAACCGCCTGAGGGTAGCGTTAGAGACGAAGTGGGGGGCTCTGGTTATCGTGCCGAGCGCGATTGATTGTACTACTTTCATGACGGAGACGTATGTCAGCGATGGACGAACGTGGCTTTTGAATAAGTGTACCTTTGTTCTTGGCGCCGGCGCTGGGGATGACAGTAGAGGGTTAATATGATTAGAAGCATTGTCGAATGTTCCCGAACTGTTGGTTGCAGTTTCGCCAGCAGTATTCTTTCGAAAATCTCTGGTAGGAGAGATATGGGTCGATAGCTCTGGAGTTCTGCTAGAGCTTCGGTAGCATTATCACAATCGCCTTCCTCCAGCTTGTTTTGTTGGGGAGTGTCCTAACGCCATCGCGGCGTTAAACACCCCTCCCGACCTAGGGGAGGGTTGGACGTGTGATGTTCTGCAGCGCTCTGTAGGTTATGCTGTCGGCTCCGGGCGGTTTTCGAGGGAGTTCTGTCCACGTCGGTAGTCGGAAGATTGAACCGGTCCGAAGACGGTTCCTCGGTTGAAAGCCGATGCAGGTGTTCTGGTCTGAAAGAGGGCTCAGAGACAGGTGCCGTTTGTGGTTTTCGGTTGGCCTTATATTTCGAATGGTCTCTTCCTGATTGGTATGATAAGGGTTGTGGCCTGGTTTGTTCCCTGGCATGAAGTGGATGTCCGTCATCTTCCATTGCGTAAGGGCTGGGTGAGATTTCGTGTAGGATTCGATAAGGTCTATCTCTTTTTGGGGCGAGTTTGGGGCTGAATCCCCTCCTCTGCTCACCTAATGGGCGTAGGCCTGTAGGGTAAGCCACACTAGGGGTCCTGGTTGGTAAGCAGACTTGAATTTCTTCCGAATAACTGAAACCGTCTATATGTGACCGTCCTCGGATCGTTCTTACAGAAGGCGCACCAAGGTCGTCGTTTCATCGCCCATGTGACGATGAGGTTTTGAGTTACTGGGGTTTTACTTCGTCGACTTTGCGGAGGGCGTCCTGGAGTTCGATGAAGTCCATGGTTTGCTTAGCGCGATTTGTATCGGTGTTGGTTACGGTGCCGTTTGTTCTCTTGCTTCGTCTTCTTGTTCCGCTCTAGCTGACAGGTCAGGTTTCGCATGCTACTCCCCTGCTCACGCAAGCTCATATCTCAGGAGAGCGTGTTCGTAGCGTGTACAAGATGATCGGTAGCACGGCGTTCCACGTTTTGAGATCCTTATAGCCTGGTTCCTTCTCTCCATCGGGGTGGTCCAAGGGTGGAATATGGGGGTTGTCCAGTTGTAGCGGCCCAAGTGACACGAACTGCGAACCTTTGTCGGATATGTTTGAGGGAATCCGTGTGGTCCGAAAACTTCTCGCTCCAGCAGATTTACCATGTGCCTCGGGGACGATAAAGGTGGTCCTTCTGCCGCATATTCTTCGGTCGCGCTGGCGGAGGGGTTGCGAGAAAGGTGGTCGAGTTCGCGTACCTGGATCGGTAGCGGTGGACTGTTCGCATCCATTTCTCGCGTTCTTCGCCTTGAGCTGCCGGACGGTACAGATAAAGGGGTTGGCTGATGGCGTTTTTAGACGCTTCGGCGGTGCGGATGGCCTAGACGTGCCCTCGTAACGGTTTGTTGCCGTCTACTTCATTGGTGTGATCAAGGTACTCTGAGTGGATTGTACCCCAAAGCGGCATTTCTCCACGGATAGTCGTAACCGGTGGGGCTGCAATCGCTCTAGCACTAGGTGGGTGGCGGAGATGTTCTCCCAGGTCTGCGAGTACACAATGATCTCGTCTAGGTAGAATCCTGAGAGGATTTTTTGTGTCATTAGCTTTTGAAATGTTGCTGGTGCGTTCTTCAGACCAAAGGGCATCCACTCTGAGTTGGTAAGAGGCTCCGTCGGGTGTCGCGAGGGCGGTTAAGGGCTCGAACGCAATCCTCCAGCGGTACTTGCCAATATTCCGATTGTCCAGGGTGGAGAGATGTTCGCGGTCCCCAGGTCCCGTAAGCTCTCGTGGATAACGGGTAAGTTTGAGATTTCGTCCTTGGTGATGGCGTTCAGCCGTCGGTAGCATACAGAATCGTGGTTTGACGTTCATTTGTAGGCAGTAGCCCGGCGTACTGGGCTCTATGATTCGTGCGGCCAGCATGGTCTCTACCTCTTTCGCCCGGAGAGTCCCTCGTTTGCGGTTTGAATTAATTAGATGGCCGGATGCTCGGTACAACCACCGTTTCTCTGGTTCTGTTGTCGGTTGGCTAGAACGGGACAGTCCCGGTGGAGGTGGTACTGCTGGCAATAGCGGCGTTTAGGTACATTCGGTGGGCGTTGTAGGTTGGTGGTGGTTTCGACGACGGCTGGTCGACTGCGCCTCCTTGCGATGCGGACTTTTCGTTTCACGATTCCGTCCTCTGCTCCTGGGCGAAAAATTCAGCATGAAGGTTACCGCTCGTCGAGGAAGTGGTCCTTCAGCTCGGTGTAGCCGGTGATGAAGAGTTCGACGGTGGTCCACCATTTCGCCGCATCCCCGGTGAGACTTTTTGTAACTGAGCCTGTAGGAGGTTCTCGTCTCCTTGTGCGCTTGCTGCTTCCTGCTGAAGGAACAGCTTCGGGTCGTCCAGGAGGTCTCCACTGTTGCCAGGTCCTTTTGCTCGGGTAGTAGTTGTCGCAGTGCCGTTATGATCGGCGTGATGGCGTCGGCGGCAGTGCTTGGTTTGCTTTCCGGGGTGTCGCGAGCCCTGGTTTCCAACTTGGAAAAGTGATAAGTTTGGGAGACGGCCCTGGCGGTTTCCTCGATTCCAGGGCGCCCGGTGGTGGGAGCGTCGTAGTAGGCGTAGAGGACGTCCTCGTGGCTTTCTTGGAGACAACGAGCAGCCGGCTCTGGGGACTGCGCTTGTAAAGGTACCCCACGTGGACGGTGTACTCCTGCAGGAACTTCCTTTGGTTTTCGCTAGCGGGCCTTTAGTTGTGGAGGCGATCGGATCGATTGGTCTTCTGATTATCCCGGCCACGTTCCACGTGGGTCGATGGGCGAGTGAGGGCAGCTTTCTTCGTCTGCGTCGGCGACTCTCTGAGGAGGAGGGCCCAGCGGGTGAGTTTGCATAGCTGACTATGCGCCGTCGCTGGTCTTTGTCTTTCCGCTATGCCGCATCCGCCGGCGTCAGTTTGGAGCACGGACAGCAACCGGACGTCGGAACGATGGTGTTCGAGTGGCTGGCCGAGGGCTTCTTGCAGACTCTCGAACGTCTTGTTCGCGGCGGTCGTCCACGTGAATCGGTTGGAGTCTGCCGTTATAAGGTGACCCAGATACGCCAAGGATGTCACCCCAAAACGGCACTTGTCTTGTACCAGGCGCAGGTGGTGTTGCTGGAGCCGCAGGTGTTCCTCCCATGAGTTCGAATACACGACGATGTCTTCTGCGTCTTTAGCTTCCGAAAGGTAGCGTTCTTTAGTCCGAACGGCATCACCAGAAACTGGTAGCAGGCGCCGTCGGGAGTCAAAAAGGCGCTGAGCGCGCGAGCCTTGGGTGCGTGAGGAACCTGCTTGAGGTTCAGCGTGGAGAACACCTTCACCGTTCCCAGTTCTCTAAGTGTGCCATGGATAAGTGGTGGGGTGGAACTTTCGTCTCTAGTGCAGCCGTTCAACCTGCGGTAGTCCACGTAGAAGCGAGCGTTGCCGTCCTTCTTTTGGACAATGGAGCTCGGTTCAATGATGCGGTCGGCCAGCATTATTTCGACTTCCTGGACAACAATCGCCTTCTGGACCGTTCCCTTCGACAATGTGGTCCGAAACGTTTGGAGTAGTTCCCAGAACCGAGGAATCAGTGATGGACCTCTTCGATTTTCGGCGTGACGTTTTTGGTTGTTTTGGCGGAGCGGGCCCAGTGGGTGGTGGGACGGCGTTCTTTGGCACAGTGGACACATCGACGACCGTGGTCTGAGACGGCCTCGTTGCGAAGCAACTAGTTCTGACCCAAGATAATGGACGTGGCTAGATCGTTGCCCACCAGGAAGCTTCTCTGTTGTTTGGTCCTCTCTATGAGGAACATTAAGTAAGTGTTTTTTTGGTGGACAACAATTTCTTGTACAATTTCAGACTTGCGCAGTTCACATTTCGATTTTTTTAAAATTGTATAGAGTATAAATAAATAAATAAATAAATCATTGAGGCAAAAAGAGGGTTATTAACCGACGAGCAGCCGAGGCATATTAATATAATTACATAACAAGAACTACACCCAATTGGGTTAAACAGATGAAGTAGTGATCCAAGAGTTAAGTAGGGCAGTGGTGGACCCCCTTTCTTCTCAGTTTTTTGTGCGGTTTTCATGAGCCCTAGTTTAAAATAAAGGAGATCAAGTCGGCTCAAATCGGAAATTAATTGAGTTCAAATATTTATGGAAATTGAGAATCGTTTCGCTTTGTGCGTTTTTAGTAGGGAACAA